AGAGACAGGTAACTTAAGCAGAGAGATGGAAATTGTAGGATAGAATCAGAAATGTTAGTGACCAAAAACACTACCGTAAATAATGTCTTTGATGAGCTCATTAATGTACAAGATATGGCCGAGGACAGAATTAGTGTGCTTGAGGACATGTCAATAGAAACTTCAAAAACTGAAAAGCAAAGAGAAAAAAAGACTGAAAAAAATGGAACAGAATATCCAAGACGTGCGGAACAACTACAAAAGGTATAATATACACGGAATGGGAATATCAGAAGAAGAAAGAAAAAATAACGGATGAAATATTTGAAGCAATAATGAGTGTGAATTTCCCAAAATTAATGTCAGATACCAAACCACAGATCTTAGAAGCTAGAAGAACACCACGCAGGATAAATGCCAAAATAAAACTACACATAGGCGTATCGTATTCAAACTGCAGAAAGTCAAAGCTGAAAGAAACAATCTGATAAAGGACATCTATGAAAAAAGTATAACTAATATCATATCTAATAGTAATATATTGAAAGATATATTCCCCTCTAAGACTGAGAATAAACAAGCATGTCTGCTTTCACTATTTCTATTTCACATTGTAGAGGAAGTTCTTGCCAGGGCAATTAAGCAAGAAAAAAGATTAGAGAGATTGGAAAGGAGAATTAAGACTGCTTTTAGTTATAGACAATATGATTGCGTATGTAGAAAATTCTGAATAATCTACAAAACTGCAACTAGAAATATATAAATTTAATAATATCTTAGGATACAAGATCGATGAACAAAATCAATTGTGTTTTCATATCGCAACAATAAATGGTTTGAAAATAAAACTAAACCAATTCCACTGACGACAGCATCAAAAATATTTGGAAATACATTTATAAAAATGTACACAACCTGTACACAGAAAGCTTACAAAATATTGTCAAGATTAAATAAGGAAGATCTAAAATAAAACCATCTCATGAATTGGAAGATTCAATGTTGTTAAGATGCCAAGTCTTCTCATTGATCTTTGCATTCAAATCAATGCCAATTAAAATCCCAGCAGTATTTTTATTTTATAAAAATTTATATGGAAATACGAGTGGTTTTTTGAAGGAGAAAAAAAAAAGTCGAAGGACTTAAACTACCCAATTTCAAGACTGACTATAAAGCCACAGTAATCAAGACAATGTAGTATTAACCTGAGGATAGACAAATAATAGATTAATGGAATAGATGACAGACTCCAGAAATGAACTCTGTCTCTGGCCAATTGAATTTCAACACAGGTAGCGGAACTATTCAATGGGAAAAAGAAAGCCTTTTCAAAAAATGATGTTGAAACAACTGGATAAATGTATGGAGAAAAATGAAATTCAACTCTACTACCCTGGCCACACAAAACTGATATAAGCATGGAGCTGAATGGTCCCTTGGGTGCTCTTCTCTCCTACCCACGCCTCAGCCTTGACAATCACCCTGTGAGCATTGCAAAAGCAGGCCTTGAATTTTATGAACTGAGACAAGTTACTGCCTTCAGCCATACTGCCTTCAGCCACACATTTAAAAGAACTTACATTTAAAAAGATTAGGTAGACAGTGTGGTGATCATTTTGCAATATATACAAATAGTGAATTATGTTGTTCCCATGAAACTAATGTTATATGTCAATTATTCCTCAATAAAAGAATAATAAAAAAGGGTTACATCAAATGAGGCCTAGTGTTTGGCTCAGTCTTCAACTGAAGGCCTTAGTCAGCTCAGGCTGCTAACAGAATACCTTGCACTGAGTGGCTTACACAATAAACATTAATTCTCACAGTTCTGGAGGCCGGAGAGCTGAAATTAAGGTTCTGGTAGATTTGGCATCTGGTAAGGACTCACTTCCTGGTTGTGGATGACTAATTTCTCACTCTCTTTACAGTGTAGAGAGAGCTTTACACTCAGAGCCTCATCTAAACCTAATTACCTCCCTAAGACTCCACCTCTTAATACCATCGGATTTGGGATTGTGACTTTTGGAGGGACATAGACTTGAAGTTCATAGGAAGGTCCTTTCTTTGTAAGTGGTGGTGTGATCTAGTTACTCCCCTAAGGCCGTCCTCCCCTCTCCCTCTCTGTCAGAGCAGGAACTGTGAGATTCAGAGGCTCAGAAGTTCAGTCAGGCTGTGTGAGCCCTGTACTGGAGCTGAGGACAGCGGCCCTGCTCTGCTCCTTTCCAGCATTGAGACTCTGGAGTGGCCATCACTTCCTCGGGTGTCACGTGAGGAGCAGATGAAGGTCTGTAGGGTCTTTTGTAAACCCTGAGAGCTGTGTGGGCACCTGTAGGAGACTGTGTGGGAACACAAACCACACCCTCGGAGTTGATAAGGGTCACGAGGGTGCCAGGAAGGCCACAGGGCCCATGGTCTCCACCCCAGCAGTGGCTCCACCTACTGGCTCCTTGGATCAGCTTCCTGAGAGGGAGGCGAGGGGAATTCTGAAGCACAGTGGGGCGGGGAACTGCTGGAGCTGCTGGAGCTGCTGGGAGGAGTGCAGAGGAGCCCCTGCCCGCCCCCCGCCGGGGATGCAGTGATGGCATTGCAGGGCCACAGGCCTGGTGCAGATGGCAATGCAGGGTCACAGGCCTGGTGTGTCCAAATGCTTTCAGTTGTCCCTCTGGGGGACACCCCAGCCCTGCTAGGAAAGTCTCAGTCCCTGATTTTGGTCTACTTTTCCTTCGCCAGGACTGGAAAAATCTTGGCGAGGAGGAGGAGGACAAAAGACTCTGGCTGTGGGCAATGTCTGCTCTGCCTTGTTCTGCTTTGGTGTCTGTGGGACGTCAGCCTCCCCTACCTGCTTCTCTCAAGGCAGGCTGTGTGTGTCTTCATTCTCTGGCTGCCTTTAAGGTTTTTCTTTATCACTGGCTTGAGCAATGTAATTTTGGTTTGCCTTGGTATAGTTTTCTTTGCTTCTTTTACTTGGGGTTTTGTGGATTTTTTTGGATCTTTGGGTTTAAAGTTTATATCTAACTTATAAGATTTTCAGGTATTATTTATTCAAATATTTTGTCTGTCTCTTCCCCTTACCGGGTGTCTAATTACATTTATAGTAAAATGCTTGATATTCTCCAGAGCTAATTGAGAATATTCATTTTTTTTTTTTTTTCCATTTTTTTTCTGTTTCATTTTGGGTAACTCCTGTTTCTCTGTCTTTGAGTTCATTGATCTTTTGTAATACCTAATCTGCCCTTAATCATATCCTATGTATTTTTCATTTCGGACTATCTCTACAATTTCCATTTGGGACATTTTAATATCTTCCATTTCTCTCCTAACGATGTTCATCTTTTCTTTTACATCCTTTAGTATAGTTATAAGATTTATAATAGCTGTCTTCATGTCTTTCTATCAATTACATTATTCTATTAATCATTGTCTATTTCTTTTGTTATCTGTATCCCTTAATTCCATTATTTCTGTCACTTTCTGGATTGTTTTTATGGGTTGATTATTGTACCGATTATGGTGGACATTGTCCTGCTGCTTTTCATGCCTAGTAAATTTTTATTAGATGACAGACATGAATTTAAATTCTGTGTATTGGATTTTGTTGTGTTCCTTTAAAGTGCTGTATATCGTTCTGGCACACAGTTAATTAATTTGAATATTAGTTTGCTCCTGCTGGGCTAGCTTTAAATTTTATGCCTGGGCTACAGCTGCCTTATTTGGAGCTAATTTAGTTAACTAATAAGACTCTAGTAGTTAAATCCTGGTAACAACCCTTTTATGCAGTCTGCCCACTCTGGTGAAGGGGAACGTGAACAATCCCCAGCCCTGGGTGGGCCTCAATCCTTGACCAGCCTGCTAAGGTCCCGTGCCTCTTCCAGGCCTGGGCTGGTCCCTCTCAGGGGCACCGATCAGCACTCACCCAGACTCTGAGTGGGCCCCCTGCACACCTCCAGAGCCCTCTCTCTGCGCAGTGCCTTCTTCTCCAGTTCTCTGCCCAGCATTCGGCCTCCGGGAACTCCCAGCTGTGTCTCCTCAACAGAGGCCACAGGCCTCCTTCTGGGTCCCCTCCCTGAGCTGCAGCCTGGAAGCTGTCCTCAGGCAGTCCACTGAGGCCATCCCTGGACTCGCCTCCTTTGTGTCCCAGGGGAGGGAGCTGTTATTCACCCACCAAGTAGTTGATGAGCCCTTCACTCTGGGAAAGTCTGGGCCCTAGGGGAGGGAGCTCACAGTCGGCGGGGGAGGAGCTGAGACCAAAGACCTAAATGGCTTAGCAAAAACTCTGTGAGATCCCACCCTCCCGGCTCACCTCACCTCCAGAGAGGCTGTGATGGCAACTGTGAATGTCATTCTTCTGTTTTGTCTGGCACAAGTGTGGCCATGGGATTGCAAGACCTCAGGTTATGTTATTGTTGGCTTGGAAAATGTGGTTTTGAGTAAAATCAGCATTGTTGGTAATGATTTTACTAATCACAGCTTATGCTTAAATAGAGCACTTACCATTTGCCAAGCTCTGTTCTAAGCATTGTGTATACATACTAACTCATTTTATTTTCACAGCAACCACATCGTGTATGAACCTTCATGGTCCATATGTCTAGGTGAGCTGTTTGTTGGAGGAGCTGGTCAGGAGTGATGAGCAGCCTCTCTGGGTCCTCTGCTGTCTAATCATCAGGTAAGAATTCGTCTACGAGGCCTGCACTCACTTTACACAGGGTCACTGCTGGAGGGATCTCCCTGTGAGATCATTTAATGCCCCCCTATTTCAACAATAATAAACATTTTTAGAGAGGAAGAGAAGTGGCTTTCTTAGAATCATGAAGCTAATTGATGGTGGTCTGAACCAGAGACCAGAGGGCTAATGTTAACTAGCTGTCTAAAAACTAAAAACAATAACAAAAAACCCCCAAACCCACAACTTCTGAAGAAGCAGATGTCAGACCACAGAAAGACCTTGAGAACAAGTCTGATGTAGATGCCATAGTTGGTCGGTTTGATATCGGCAGAGCAGCTTTCAGGGTTTCATGCCCTAGAAAAGAAAGAATGAGTGACAGGTGGATTGTTACCAGGAAATACAAACTGGAAGGATGAAACTTGACTCTAGAACAGTCTAATGTACGTCACTTGCACTGCTGGCAGAGGAAGGAAATCCTTTGTTAATGACTGATCTCTGGGTGGAGCCAGGGTGAGTAGCGTCTGTAAATCTTAAGAATTGGAACAGCACTCTCTCTCTCAGATCTCAGCTACACCCTGGGTCCCTCAAGCAGAGACAACCACATACTGCAAAGCCTCTTCCCCCAACCCCACTTGACATTGCCTCTCCCCAATTACTTTGACTTCATACCTGTCTGTAATCCTGTCCATGTGAAATTTTCCCTCTATGTCCACCAGTGTTCCTGACACCCATGGCCTTGTCACCTCTGCCTGGGCAGCCCATTCAAGCTCTTTGCGCCTTTGTAACCCTTGGGGTTATCTGTGCCTCTGCCTCCTTTCCTTGTGATTCAGAACTGTCCTAAAAAATGTAAGGACCATGTCTGGTCCCCGAGGTTTCCTAAGCCCCTTGCAATGCGTTGCTCACCAGGCTCCAGACACACCTTCCTGAGTGGGTGGATAACGTGGGTTCTAAGATGCCAGTCTGAAAATTAATCAGTGTTACTATATTATATTACACTATATTAATCGTGTAAAAGAGAAAAACTCTATGGACATGTTCATTGATACAGAATAAGCATTTGACAAAATTAACACCCATTCTTGATTAAAAATAAATTCTCATTATATTAAGAATAGAAGGGAACTACCTCAATCTGATAAAGTTCATGTATTAAAAAGCTATGAGTAACTTCACCTAACATGGCAACATCTTGAATACTTCCCCTCAGTTACTGAGACCAAGACCAAGGGTGTTCATGCTGATAACATCTCTTCAGGATTGTATTCTGGGTCCTGGCCAGGGGAGAAAGACATAAGGATCAGGAAGGAAGGAATAAAACTTCCTTCATTTGCAGAGAATACCTGCTAGAAGTAATAAGTGAATCTAGCAGGTCATAGGTTGCAAGTCAGGGAGCATAGGAGGCAATAGGATTGTGTCAGCAGAAAAAGGAGACACAGGTATTAATTGCAGAGGAGGCCCAATTTTTAAAATTTAACTTTCTACTTAAAACACTCTCAAATTACAGAAAAGTTGCAAAAACTATACTAAAAATTTTTTCTCAAACCACCGAGAACAAGTCAATGACAAAATGTATATCACCCCTTAACGCTTCAGTGGGTATCTCTGACAAATAAGAACGTTCTTCCTATAACCACAATACAACCTTAAAAATCAGATAATTAACATCAATACACTACTACCAGCTAATCCTCAGACTCCATTTAGATTTCTCCTGTTGTCCACGTGATATTATTTATTGCACAGAGATCCTATTCTGAATTGCTCTTTTATCTTTTTCTGTGACACTTTGGTATTTAATGGGACATTGATAAGCTATTTTGGGGGACATTTTGTCAAGTGCCTTTTTAAACCTGAAGAGCTTTACTTAACATTTGATCTTGTATCCTATATTTTCAAAAGTTTGCCCATTGCATATCCCTTTGGATTGAATATGTGTGTGTGTGTGTTTGTATGTGTGTGTGTGTGAACATTCGACTCAATAGCAGAATACACATTTTACTCGAGGGCACATGAAGCATTCTCCAGAATGTGCCATATGTTAGGTCACAAAACAAGTCTTAAATTGAAAAAGACTGAAAACATAAAAAGTATCTTTTCCAACTACAACGAAATGAAAGTAGAAATCATTAACAGAAGGAAAACTGGAAAATCTATAAATATGTGGAAATTAAATAATGCACTCTTAAATGACTAATGGGTCAAAGAAGAAATTACAAGAGAAATTAGAAAACATCTTGAGACAAAGGAAAACACACCATACCAAACCTATGTGATCCAGAGAAAGCAGTGTCAAGAGAGAAATTTATAGCTGTGAGTTAAAAAAAGAAGAATGATCTCAAACAACATAACTTTATACCTTAAGGAAATACAAAATGAAGAGCAAAGTAAACTCAAAACTAGTAAAATAAGAAAATAATAAAGATTAGAGCAGAGATAAATGAACTAGAGAATAGGAAAACAATGGAGAAAAGTCAATGGAACAAAGATCAACGAAATGGATATATCTTTAACTAGATCGACTAATAAAAAAAAGAGAGAGAGAAAATACTCAAATACCTAAAATCAGAAGTAAAAAAGAGGACATTATAATTGAATATACAGAAATAAAAAAGATTATAAGAGAATACTATGAACAGTTGCTGCTCAACAGGTTGGATCACCTAGATGAGATGGATAAAATCCTAGAAACATATCACATACCAAGGCTGAATCATGAAGAAATGGAAAATTTGAACAGAGCTATTAACTTGTAAGGAGACTGAATCAGTAATTAAAAAAACACTCAACAAAGAAAAGCCCAGGAGCAGATGGCTTCACTGGTGGATTCTATCAAACATTTAAAAGGAGAATCAACACCAAGCCTCCCAAAATTCCTCCAAAAAATTGAAGAGAAGAGAACACTTCTTAACTCAGCCTTGCCCTGATACCAAAACCAGAGACACCACAAGAAAATTGCAGACTAACAGCCCTGATAAATATTGATATGAAATCTTCAACCAAATACTAGCAAAAAAATACATCATCACATTGAAAGAATTATACACCATGACCAAGTGGGATTTATTCCTGAAATGCAAGAATGGTTCAGCATATGAAAATTAATCAATACTGCTCAACCTGAGGTCACAGACTGCTCTGAAAGTGTTACACGTGCCCTCTGTGCAAATTCGGAAGTTTCCTACTGAAGACAGGTCTGTAGCCCCTACTACTTAGGCCACTGAGTACGTAGGAACAACCAGTGAACAGTCTTAAGCTGTTCTTCCACAAACTCTTAAACAAAATGGAAATAAGATTGACAGAAAATAAAGTTTCTAAAAGTTAAAAAAAGAAATTACCACATTAAAAGAATAAAGGATGAAAACCACATCATTGTTGAAAAAATACTTGACAAAATTCAACATTCTTTCATGATAAAAACACACACAAAAATATTAGGAATAGAAGGAAACTATCTCAACATAGTTAAAGTCTTATATTAAAAACCCACAGCTAACATCAGAGCAATTAGACAAGGAAAAGAATCAGAAAGGAAGTATAATTATCTCTGTTCGCAGATATGATCTTATATATATGTAGAAAACCCTAAAGATTCCACAAGAAAAACCCTGTTAAACAAATTTATCAAAGTTGCAAGATACAAAATCAACACCCCCAAATCACTTATGTTTCTATACACTGAGATTAAGCAATATACAAAGGAAATTAAGACAATTTAACTTACAATAGCATCAAAAACAATAAAATACTTAGGAATACTTGTACACTAAAAACTATAAAATGTCTATGAAGGAAATTAAAGAAGACATAAATAAATGCAAAGACATCTTGGTTAATGGATCGGGAGACTTTATATTGTAAAGATGTCAATATTACTCAAAGCGCTCCACAGATTTAACGCAATCCATATCAAAATCCCAACTGTGCTTTTTGCAGACATAGAAAACCTTAATTTATATAGAATCGCAAGAGGCTCCAAGTAGCCAAAACAATCTTGAAAAAGAATCTCGATAAAGAAGAACAAATTTGGAGGTCTCAAACTAGTAGAACTTGGTAAATAAGATATTAATGATGTAATTTCTGGTTGACAGGATGTAAATTTTTTATTCTTATAAAAATTTTCCTGTACTTTCTCACTATTTTAGAATAAGAGAAAAGAATAAAAGAAAGTTTTTCAAGTGTATGTTACTTGACTAGTCCCAACAGGCAAAGAGACAAATGTGAATGCAGATGAATGTTTCGGAGTTTAGAGCTAGAATAAAGGTCCAAGTTCTGTTTAGTTTTAGAGGCTGGGATGAAGGGAATGTGAGATGGGTGCGGGGAGAGATGAGAATCTCGTGCCTATCCCTGTTTAATCTCCATAAGGAATTTGTCTATTTCATCTAAGTTTTCTAATTTGTTGGCTTACAAAGGTACATACTATTCTTTTACAATCCTTTTTATTTCTGTGAGGTGCGTACTAATATTCCCCCTCCTATTTCTAATTCTAATGATTTGAGTCTTCTCTTTTTCTTAGTCAATAGGCTGTTGTCAATTTTGCTGGTCTTTTCAAATAATCAGCTTTCGGTTTTGTTGATTTTCTCTTTTTTTTCTAGTCTCAGTTTTATTAATTTCTGCTCTAATATAGTGTCTGGTAGGTCTAGTTGGTTTATAGTATTGTTCAAGTCTACTATTTCTTTGATCTTTTTTTAGTTCATCATGAATTTTTATAGATTAAGGAAATTATACTTTTAAGTGTGATTAGTGTTCCAATTATTTTCTTCTAGCTTGTTTTTTTCTTTGTCGTAAATTCTCCCATGCAAAGTTTTCTTCTTAATTTTTATGTCATTGATTTTATTCAAGTTTGATAGTTTCTTGTCGTACTAAAGAGATTCAGACTTGTAATAAAAATTTCTTATATTTTTGTAGTACTTTTTTGGTTTCATGTATTATATTTAACTCATCAATCCACCTAATCTTAATTTTCTAATAGGAAGAGCATAAGGAAGAAACTTTATTATTTTCCAGCCGTCATCTTAGTTGCTCCAGCACTATTATTGAAGAGTCACATCTTTATCATTGGCAGGAAGTGTCATCATCATAACATTATTATGGAAAGTTTTTTGAAAGTTGGTCTCTCTAGAGTATCTTTCAATATTGATAAGTAAGAATCAGAGAAGACAGATTCTGCAGAGAGACTGAGGTCACCTGAAGGAACAAAACCCTGGAGGTGAAGATCGAGCCTTGATACCACCTGCAAGTCCTCAGCCAAGTGCCTGGGGAACGTCTCTGCATCGCAGGGCAGCTTTGGGCCCCTTTCTTTGGGTCACTGACTCTCGACAGATAGGATCCATTTTCACTTCCATTTTCCTGCCACCGTAGAGGCATGAGCTTTAAGTGAAGGCTTTCTCCAATTGTTGTATTATTTCTGTGCCTCCTCGTGTCTTCCACTGACTAGGAGCTCATTGAGACAGGAAGTTGTACTTTCCTCTGTAAGCTTCCAGGGCCTTGGGCTGTGTTATCCAACACAGTAGTCGCCAGCCTGTGTGGGAATGGAGCACTTCAAATGGTTCCTCTGAATTGAGATATGTTGTGAGTGAGAAATACACATTGGATTTCAGAGGCAAAGTGAGGGGATACGTCATGCAGACAGGAGAAGCTTGTTCTTCCTCCACAATCTGGTAGGGGACACAAGGCAGGAGATTCCTCCTCCCTCTCCTCTTATCTCACAGAACCCGTTCACGACCTCCCTGTGTCTGTACCCAGGTGTCTTGAGGGGATGATCATTACCAGACCCTGTATCCTCTGGTGTGACCTCAAGTATGTCAAACAAGAATCAGGTATTGAGGACAGTGGGGAGGTCTCGGTTCAGGAGAGCCAGTGACCACCAGCCTAGGACGACCGCTCCCTCTCCCTCCTCAGGCAATTCACAGTTGGTGATTGGAGTTGCCATTGGATCTCTGTGTATCCTGCTGCTGGTGCTGACCACATCTGCATGTTATCGCATGCAATACACAGGAGGCTCACCCTTCAAGGTGAGGCTGGCAGGGGCGATGGGGAGGTGCTGGCACTCTCTGCCATCTCCCTCGCGTCCTGCTTTGTTTCTCAGACAGAAAAGCCCTCCTCTCCACATCGCAAATCCCCCTGTTTTCTTCTGGCCTGGCTCTGATCCCCTTCCCTGTGATCACCCCTCCGTGTCCCACCTCACCTCTTCGGGGTTGGGATCATATCAGTGTCCTTGTCTCACGGCTGACAGTCACCTCATCTCCCAGGCCAAGTCTGGGAGGGCAGGACCAGTTCTTCGGCGTCCCCAGTCAGAGCGGAGAGGTGGTCAGCCCCTGTATTTGGTGACAAGAGCCAGGAGGAGAGGGTCAGGGGCTTTATACAGCTTTGGTCAGAGCAGAACCCAACAGAGATTTGATACGCGTCTATTTTTACTTCTTTCCCCTTTCTCTTCCCCCTCTGAACATTGTCCCAGAGATGGACTGTCCCTCTCCCGTCACCTGTCCCCAGGGCTGCTTGTTCAGTGTCTGATACTCAGCCCACGCCCCATCCCTTGCACTGTCCTTGTGGGAGGAGGAGCCACTGAGCAGCCCCTTTCCACTGCTAAGACAGACACCCCTTCTCTTCTAGCTTGTGGAGTGGACCCCAAACGTGTGGACAGAGTGAGTTGGTTTCCCCAGGACCCGGCGGCATCGGGCCCTCAGGAACCGCTTCCTTCCCGCAGCAAGGCCCTGGGAGGGCACGGTCCCATTTGTCCTGTGGGGCTGGCCCTGGCTGAGTGTAAGAAGGCAACTGCCCCTTTGTCAAGCCCTGTCCTTCCTGCTGCTTGTGACACCTTCACCCACAACCCTGCTCCCTGGGGTATGAGGGTGTCAGGCAGGGGTGCTGAACCCCCGTAGCACAGCACAGGGTTCTGGTGCCAGCAGCAGAGTCCTGGATGTGCTGAGCCTGTGCCGGCCTGAGGGGACAGCCTGGGGAGACGTGGGGAAGGAGAACCTACTGTGCCCCCTGAGACCCTGCAGGGAGCCTGGGTGTGGACTCCTGAGTCAGCTCTTTGCCTTCCTAAGGTCTTTTCCTGGTGCTCATGTCCTCGGAGAGGGCCCGGGGCTCGTGACAATGCCCACAACGAGATCGTGAGCAACAGGAACTCGCAGTCCACCCTGGTCTCTGAGCAGGAGCTGGAACAGCAGGAGCACGCGGAGCTGGCACATGTCATCGTACAGTCCCCAGGGGAAGCAATGCGTCTGCTGGTGAGTGGATGGTGGCTATGCAGCATCCTGGCCCTTCTGCTTGCCCAGGACTGTGGTAGAAACAGGGAAAGGCCGATGCTGGTCAGGTCTCCTGTCCCCTGGCGACGTGGTGATGGAGGGAGGTCGGAACTTGAAGCGGGGAAGGGGTTGCTGCGCAGGGAGCCCGCCACCCTGGTGTGTGGACTGTCAGCTCTGTGGAATGTCTGCCCTGTTACGACTGTACCCCAGAGCCTGGAACAGGCGGCACAGAGTGGGCGCTCCCATGTTGTTGAATAATTGAATGAGGGCTGCACAATATTCCAGTGTGTGATTGTTACATAATTTAGTAATTCCTCGTAATATGAAGAATTTCTAATTTATTTCAAAATCATTATAGCATTGAATATTTTTGAAGATAAATCTAGTTCCATTCTTCTAACCATGTTTGTAGGATGACTTCCCAGAAAAAGTAAAATCTGTGTCTATTAGATTCTCGTAGAAGTGTATTTTTACTGTAGATACACACACAGGCACATTCACACTCGCACTCACGTATACATTTACACAGAGTTTTGGTTTATATCGATTCAGTAGATTCGATCTGGTGTTGTGGGCTTTTCTTTTTGCGTTTTTTCTAACTAGGAAAAATTGATGGATTTGAACTTGTATTTCTTTGTTTTGACTATTTTTACGTATAATTTTGGTCGTTTCTATTAGTCTTTTTAAGAAGACATACTCTTGCGCCCTTGCAATTTTCTCACATACAGATAATAGGTTCCTAATTTCTTGTTGTCCTTTCATTGGTCTAATATTTTATGTACAGAAGTTTTTATTTTTTCACTAGTGAAACCTGTGTATACATTTACTTTTTAACTACTCATAAGCTTAGAAAGACACTTCCCCCAACCTAAGAAAACAATGAAATTCTCTAATTTCTTGGAGAGGTTTATTTTTAGAGATTCAATTTTTGGCATGTAGCTGTAACTTAATTGGAATTTATTTTGTCATCCATGTAAAGTGAGGTGCTCTCTCAATTTTTGAGTCACTTTTTGTTTCTCCCAGTCACTACTTACTCTCTCATTTCCTGCTGTTTTGGGTCTGTCCTTGGTCACAGGTCGAATGTTTATATAGACATAGTTCGCTTTCCACCCAGACTGTTGCTTTTTGTTCCCAACTTAGATCAATACACATTTTTACTTAATAATATGAATGTCAAAAAATAAAACAAATATTAAAAAGGCTGATATTACTGCCATCCTGATTAACTACTTTAACATTTAAAAACAGAAGTCACATGTTCAAAGTGAGAAAATTTAAATAGCACAGAAAGGTTCTCAGAGAATAGAGACCTTCACTCTCTCCCAACACCCCCTGCTCTTTTTATTTCAGGGAACTACTGTAGAGAATTTCTCATGTTTCTTTGCCAAAATCTTTATGCTGATCCATGTATATGTACACATACATATGCATATTTGTATATTTTATTTATGTGAAAGACATTCTATTATATAACATACTCTTCCCAATGAAAATTTCTAATATACTTTAATATCTAATAGAGCAAATACATTTTCCTTATTTTTTTCAAAACTTATAATTTTACTAAGGTAAAATTTTGAATTGTTTCATAAGATTTCTCCCACTCCCCCAAAAAATCATAGAAATGTTTATTAAATTTACCTTAAATTTTAAAAAGTAATCTAGGAAGAATTGAGATATTATCAGTTTTTAATATTTTTTTTATCAAAGAAGATAGCATCTTAAGTCAAGTATTTTATTATAACTCAGTTAAGATTTGTGTTTTTCTTCATGTAAATTATTTCGCTTTTTGTCAAGGCTGTTTGTTTTCTTTGTATTTTAAGTTTTAGAACCCTTATAAAATGGATTCTCTTGTAATTGCATTTTCTAATTTATTGTTTCTTCTATGTTTTAAATGTTTATCCAGACATACATTGATATTCAAGTATCATTATTTAACCCTTAGGATTTTAAAAGTATAGTTGTATCTAAAATAATGACTATTCCTCCTGCTCCACCCAAGAATCTGCCATATGTTTCTGTTTCACTGCATAGACCAGGACTTTCAAAACAATGTTCAGCCTCTAGTATTTAACCATTAAGAATTACGTTGGTTCTTAGTTTTGTAGAGAAATTCTTACCATTATGGATGCAGCCTCCTATGCTGAGATGTATTAAAAAATCAAAATTGGTGTTTCATTTTACCAAATAACTTTTCACCCTCGGTGCACTAACAGACGCTTTCATTTCTTTATTTAGATTATAGATATGGTACACTATTATTGATTGAGCAACTTTGCATTTGTGGAATAAACTTTTACTTTAGGTAATTGAAAGTGTCCTAATATATATTCTCATTCTTTCCTTTCCCCCCTGATGCCTTCAGGCTTGCTGGTCATGGGTGGGTTTCCTGCTCTGACTGGATTTCCAAGGGTCAGGTTTGTGGGGGCTAAAATTTTAGCCCCTCTTCCCTCCCTTTCCCCCTGGGAGAGGCACCCCAGGTCCAGCCTGGCTCCCCTACAGCCTCCCCAGCTGGTGTCTGGGTTGCCCCGGGGCCTGCTGGGCTCTCACACGGTGCAGACCAGCCCTGACAGAGCAGTTGGGAAGGGGTGGTGGGTCCCTGAGGGGTGAGCTGGCCCTGGTTACTGGGGTCAATCTGTGGCCCTACTCCTGTGGGCTTCCTACACCTCCTGGGCCACCTATACTTTCTCTCCCCATTGGCCTTTCTGCATCCTTGTCAGTGAGTCAGGTGGCTCAGCCCTGCCAGCTCACAGATACCCATTTCCCGTCTCCTTGGTTTAGGCCCTGGCTATCCTTCTCACTTAGAGTTCCTGGGAGGCCCCATGGCTCCACCTCTGTATTTTTTTTTCTACACCCTGCCCTGCCCCCCACACATCCAGTTTCTGTTCCAACCAATGGTTTATCAGTTTTGATCTGACATCACTACTGTTTTGTTTTCATTTTACTAACTAAGAAAAGAATGATTTGGCTTATATATGCACTTCTCTATTTCAGTGTTTCTGTTTCTTGTGGTCCAGTATCTTGTGTTTCACATATTTATTAGTTATTTGAATCTCTTCAAATCAACTTTTTATGACTTTTGTCTTGTTTGTTAAAGACCTGATGTCATTCATTTTTTCAAATTCAGATAACAGATTCCTGGTATGTTTCTATTTCTGTCTTATATTTTTATTTTCAGAAGTTTTAAATTTTAAGGAGTTAAATCTATAGATATGTGGGGGTTTTTTTTGGTCATAAATTTAGGAAGTCCTTCATCCAACATTAGATAAGATGAACTTCTCTAATTTTTTAAGAGGCTTTTAAAAATGATTTGGTTTGAGGCATATAGTGCAATAGCCACATGGAGATTGTTTTTGCTGTGATAGGAGTATGGAGTTACCCTGATTGTGCTGAGTCACTTTTCTTCCTTCAACTACATTTAGCGACTGATTCTTCCATTTCCTTCTGTTTTGGGTTCCTTCTTTGTCACTGGCTGAATTAGAACGTGGACATTGACCTCTTTTCACCAAGACTATAGTGTTCCATTCCTTTCTTGCGTCAATATCACTTTTTTTTTTAAAAGAGAAAGTATAAAAACAAAAACAATGAGAAATATCCAATAATCTCCTCGTCCTGGTTAACCACTGTTGATTTTTTAAAAAGAGGCAAAGACATATCCACTGAGAGAAAATTGAAACAATACAGAATGATTTCAGTGAGCAGTGAAAGCCTCCTTTGGCTCCTGCCCACTCTCGGCTCCCACAGCCCCAACCTCAGCTGCCCACACAGAAGGAGACGCTTCCACACTGCTTGCCAGCTTCCTCCAGGATGGCCTGTGCACTTTTCAGAGGGCAGGAAAGATTCCAGGGGCCACTTCTTGCCATCAGGGACAGAGCGGGAGAGATAGAGGGTTCCCCAACACCCAGCCTAGGCCAGTTAGAGCACTCGCAGTCCCTCCCTGGGCTCTCCTCCAAGCTTCCCGCCACAGCCTCACTCGGGGCTCACCCGCCATGCAGGAAATCTTTTTACCTGCGTGGAGGAGATTTCAAAAGACATGTATGGACAAATATTCGAGATATTTTGTTGAATGAAAAGAAAATAGAACTTGAAGAACAAGTTAGAAGAGAGTGAAACTATTCTTTTCTGTATAGTTTATGGATATCCAGCATGTGCTGAGAAAATATTCTGGAACGATTAAGTAATGCTGGGAGTGAGGTTATGGGGACATAGTGTTTTAAATCGCCATGTTCTGTGTTATGAAATAAATTTATAGTAAACACGTGCACATTTGTGAACAGAAGCCTCCGTGGTAAGAATAACTGTTCTCAACCAGAGCCCTGGAGTTATCCTCACCCCTTACCCCCAGGCACTTCTTCTTGTGCCCAGAAGGCACGTTCTTCTGACTCAAGTGGGGTGACCTTATGCAGCGGACGTGAGGAAGGGGTGTGACAGAGCTGAGCATGGGAAGGAAGAAGAGGACAAGAATAGTTCCAGGTTTATGAACCGGAAAAACTGCCCTGGAATGTGGGAGGGATCTGGGCGCACCGCGAGCCCCGGGACCATAGCAGAGCACGTGGAAGGCGTCCAGTGTTCCCTCGCTGGTCCATCAGCGCGGACAGGCTCTGAGCAAGAGTTTGCGTCGCGGTCCTTCCACCTTCTCACGGAGGTGCACTCAAGACGCAGGGCTCCTCTCCTGAGCCGGGAATTAATCGCGTGAGAAATAATTACGTCGACCTGCTGCAGAAAGTTGACGCTGCCTCATAGTTTCGCGGTAGACCGCGTCTGCGCGGTATAAAAGTGAAGAAGAACTGACTGGGTACAGATGGTGACGCCCGGCCCCGACGCACCCGGCAGGCCGCAAGGACCTCCGCGCCCCACGAAATACGCACGATCCCTGATGACTTTGCCGGGACCAGGAGCGCTGCCGGACCGCACGGGGCAGCGGGGACACAGCGCGCTGGCTTCCTCGGGCGCCCGCGCAGGGCGCGCCCCAGTCCCCGGGC